TGTTATTATATTGTGTATTATTTAGGTACTGTAGATGGGATACTACACAATATTATTGCTTAAATAATTACATCATTCGAATATAAATATTTAAATCATTTTTGTCAAATGAAGAAAAGTAACTCTAGCCCTTTTGGGGAGACATGCTCCCCCTCCCCCCTGAGTCCGCCAGTGATTCTATAGGTGACACATCAAGCAAATATGACCGCTGTAAAAGTTTTATCGACACAAAACCCCGTAAATGTGCCGCTATTGGATTGGGAATTACCCCAGGTGGTACATCAAACCAAAGTTCAGAAAAAACGCGGTAATATATAAAACAGATTATTGAAAATGAATAGTTATACTCCCCAGAACAGTTTCCACTTAAGTGAACATAAAATGAAGTTTTAATTAGATTGCTACTCTCAAATTTTCTATTTTGTTCACGAATTAGCACGTTCTAGAATTATCTGTCTTTTCCCAGACTAAAAATCCAGAATTTTTATACTTTTTCAGTAATTATTTGGAAAAAAATACAGCAATTTTGGAAATAATTTTTCTGTATATTTTTCTTTAAGCTCAGTGTTCTCATTTAGGTACTTATTAAATTATAAAAGCCCCCAAATAGTTTTAATTTTTTTTTCAAAATTACATTCCATTAATAAGACATACTTAAAACAACAATTCATCGTACTATTTCATTTTATTACTAACCATAAAACCAGCACTCTTTGCCTCCGAAGTTCGGCACGACTACCCACGGCGGAAGCGCCTTGTACTTGTGGGCGGTGTGCATGCCCACTGTGACTGCGGTGATAACGAGAGGGCAGCCCCACGCGTACAGGGAGTACCACAGGAACTTTCTGCGCGATGTGTCCAAGAGGCTGCCCAGAAGGCCGCGCAGCCCGCTGCAACACAAGAACAAGACGCGAAAATAAGCAAAGCCCATACTTAAATAGCAACATACTTTTCGACATAATTTGCTTCTCGGTGTATCAGTTGCCGCAGGAGTTTTCAAACCTCTCCCAGGGGCGTCGCGATGATTTATTGAAAATGATCTTCAGTTATGATTTACTTGAATTCTTGTGTCATTTACATCCACAAAATAATTTTGTACTACAGAGTACATGTTATTTGTAATATGATTTGACTAATTAACTATGGATTTATTGAACCTGGCAAGTCTTTTACCAATGAGTTTCTGTGGCTTCTTTTGCATTGACGTACATCCCTAGCGCGTGGGATATTAAATCTTTCGACCCACGCAGATCAAGAGTTCTCGTGGCCACGCGAGCTGTGTCCAACCTGTGTTTGGTTAAGATTGATATTGAACGTCTAAAATGAATTGCGAGTCGCCATTTTAAATATTGAACCGAGATCTGAACAATTGTTGATGAAGCAAGCTCAGTACCATTCATTTTTAGAAGAATTTTGTCATAAAATTAAAATTTGAATGAAATGTGTTATGTTATTTAATACCAAATGAAAATGAAGTAATATACGAGATTCTTTCGGTAGCGGCATGGCGCAAGCGGATAATGAAACATCAGAATGAAAAATTCCTAGTCCGCTACCGCTACTTCAGAGAAGACTTCTTTTATTATGACCTTTGGCGTCGATATTGTTTCCAAGCTGGCTAGAATTGGAATTTGTGGCACTGAGGCGATATATTGTTTTTCAAGGAGGGAACTAATTTTCAGGATGATTTTCTATGTTCACTATAGCCGAGGTTCAGTGTTCACTATAACCGAATATCCACATCCTCATTTGCAATGTAAGTGAAATGGGGCCAGTGACTTAGGTTCATTTTAACCGAGACTTCGCTATATCCGAGTTTACTACAACCGGAGTCGACTGTACTTAAAACTTTTTGTTACCAGGGGAACTGCTGTGAGTTTCGTTTACGTCAAGGGGGCCGTGGATGAAAAAAAGCTTGAAAACCCTTAAGTTAGCGTATAATAATATCAAAATCTGAGATGGTAAATTTCGCAAATTATGTGACAACGCCATTACACATTTCATCTCTTGTTTTTGTTGCAATTTCAGAGCATTTTCTAAGATGCTGGAAACTTTTCAGGCTTGCTTTGAATAATATAACTTATATTTACAGAAAGGGTAAATTCATACAAACATTAATTTGCAGTGAATTGTAGAAAGTTAAGATAACATTGAAACTGAGGACGACCAACTGGGGTTACAACTCTATCGATTGCGAGGCTCACCTGAAGGCCCAGGAAATGTCGATGCACAGCACGTTCAGCCAGAAGAAGGCTGCCAAGAAGCTGAATTGAATAGTCATTGCTGAAATAAGAAAACGATGATCGAGAACACACACAAGTTTTATAAAACAAGTCGGTGGAAATTTTTCAAGAAGAGTGGTCCAGAGTCATAACGTTAGTGAATTGATATTCAACGAAAATTTAATTTATTATCACACAGTAATCGCTGAGCAAAATATAACCCAATAGTTTGGTCAATAAAGAGTTACTAAGATGTACAAAGATTTTGGATTAGTTACAAAACATTCTGTAAACATTTAGTGGAATAGAATATTGTATTCATGTTTAAAAATTATTTCGTATAAAAGTATATTCTAAAATATTAAATTAAATACTAATTTGTTCACATTATTCAATATGTACGTATATTCTCTCTTTCCTTGTACATCCACATAAATCTATGGAGCTTTCATATTCATGAACCAATTCTGTCAAAGGTACCTAGCATCATAATGACAACAGCAATGGATGTGTCTAATAAACGAACGACTGTGATAGTGCCACAATAATGTCATCCCAGGAATACCAACGTAACATAAGAACTCAAGTGAGGGAACGCAATATCAAAAAATAATTTAATATATGGAAAGAAAAAGCAATGTTTTTCGAACTCTCTTCAGAAAAGGCTTTTTCTTTTCGTGCTCCATTCGTAAATAGCTATTGGATGTATAACGGATTTACTTCTGAAACGTTACGGTTCTAGAGTAGCCTCTGTTTAGGTCTTGTTTAAATTGTCTCTGCACTGGCTGGGGCTGGCTTGAACTCCAGGTGCAATAACCACGAATTCTATCCCACAACTTCGTTGTCTGATATATCACACATAGGTCAGCGTGGTCTCCCAGGTCAGTGTATACTTGTCATTCATTTCATGGCCCGCGGGCCCAATCAACTGGGTCAAGCGCCGAGCCGAGTGCATTAGGGGAATAGAAGAACATACGCCCGCACCTTCAGAGCTACCTGACCTTGTGACACCGGCTCCACCGTATTGGCGGCGGGAAGACAGGCTTTTGGGAAATGGTTCGGTCTAGGTGCAAAGCGTACATAACGCCAAAACCATGTTTTTTCGTCCCTCGGATAGACCAGGGATGATAAGGTTAAAAAGGCTATGCACGATGAATGGAAATGCCCACCATACCGCAATTCACAGCTAAACATCCATGCTCAAGGGGCATTCGAACCCGCCCTTATGTTCGAGATTGCCATTGCCATTGCGCTGACAATTTAGCAATTTCGCCCTACTATTGTATTATAGAATATACTGAGGTGACAAAAATCACGGGACACCGCCTAATATCCTGTCGGACCTCCTTTTTCCCGGTGAAGTGCAGCAACTCAACGTGACATGTACTCAACAAGTCGTTGGAAGTCTCCTGCATAAATATTGATCCATGCTACTTCTTTATCTGTCCATAATCGAGAAACTGTTGCCAGTGCAGAATTTTGTGCACGAACTAATCTCGCGATTATGTCCCATAAATATTCGATGATAATCATGTCAGGCGATTTGGGTGGCCATATGATTCCCTATCGTTGTTTGGATTCATAAAAAGTCTATCGTTGTTTGGGAACATGAAGTCTATGAATGGCTGCAAATTCTCTCCATGTAGCTGAACATAACCGTTTACAGTCAATGATTGGTTTAGTTGGACCATATAACCCAGACCAACCCACACCATTATGAAGCCACCACCAACTTGCACAGTGATTTGTTGACAACTTGGGTCCACGACTTCATGGTGTCTGCGCCATTCGTCTTGGGTCCAATGAAAATGTCAAGAGCCCTGAAGAGGCGCTGCAGTCATGTCGTGCTGTTAGCAAAGATCGAATCGGACTTCTACTGCCACAGTCCATTAAGGTCTTATTTCGCTGCCCTGCACTAACTGTCCGTCGTACATTCCATATTAATTTATGTGGTTATTTCACACAGTGTTGCTTGTCTGGTAGCACTGACAACTGTGCAAACGTCGCTGCGGCCATTAAATGAAGACCGTCGGCCACAGCGATTCTCGTGGTAAGAAGTTATGACTTAAATTTAAGAGCAACCGTGACTGCCCAATGCGCGCACCCGTAAGAGTGACGTCACTATGGTGATGTTAAAAGCTCCCGATTGGATGAAACCGTCATCAGCTGATACCTGCCAGGGGCAGAATTGCATAAATCGCTTCGTGGCGTATCACGTGAAACATGTGAGTGTAAGGTTTGGTGTGAGTGTAAGGCGCGCTCTAATTATTTGAACACATTAGCAGTGTCAAGTGTCAAAATATGGGGTTTCTAGTGGCGTATCACGTGCGCCAGACATTTCAAAGCTTTGATTGGCATACGCTGTAAATCTTTGACTTTAAGCTCCAATTATATGGGAGCGAAGGCCTCCGTGGTCAGTCGCGCCACGCGCGTGCGCCTACCTCCCGCCTCGCAGAAGTCGTCGGGCACGACGGGCGTGAGCTGCATGCAGGCGAGCGCCACCGACGCGACGAGCAGCGCGGCGCAGTGGCACATGAGCGCCTTGGCGTGCGGCGGCGCGCGCAGCTCGGGCAGCGCCGCGTACACGGCCAGCGTCAGCAGCAGGAAGCACGCGCCCACGAGGAAGAGCGCGCCGAACGTCTGCACGCCCGCCGGGGGCGAGGCCGGCGCCGGCACCTCCAGGCAGAAGACGGCCGTCGCCACGGCGCGCCCGTCGCCCAGCAGCAGCGTCTCCCCGCACCAGCGGCCCGCGGCGAAGGGCGCGCCCCAGCCGAAGTGCTCCAGCAGCGCGCTGCCGTTCTCGTACACCCACATCTGCCTGCGCACGGTACGACGCAGCGAGTCGTGAAGTCTACGACAGTCTCTGACAAACATAGATAGAGAGATACATAGAGGGGTACGTAGCCGGGACAAGCTCCAAGCTCCCCGCTTGTCTACCTAGAGGGTACGTAGCCGGGACAAGCTCGAAGCTCCCCGCTTGTCTACCTAGAGGAGTACATAGACACACAGGCAGAAAGACATTTGATTGATTGATTATTCAGTGATTCCAGGCACATCAACTACCAGGGTCATTTCTCCCGTACGTGTAATGCATGTTTTTTGCTCTGGAGGTAAGGGTGATCTTTCCTCCTCTGTATGATGAGATCCAGCGCCGACCTACCGTCGGCTAGCGGAGTTTTCCCGAACTGGGTATCTCCCACTAGCAGGGCACCGCCCCAGCGGGACAAGCTCTTAGCTCCCAACGGGTCTCCCGACATATAAGGTAGTGTAGTGGGTGTAAGTTGAAGTGTGTGTGTGTATGTGTAAGGGGTGTGGATAGGACAAGGAAGAGAAAGGTGAGATCGCGCGCAGTCCGTGGCCCTTTTGTCAGGGTACTGCTCCGGCATTCGCCTGGTGTTGATCGGAGAAACCACGGAAAAATATAGATCAGAGCAGCCGGCTGCTAGACTTCTCCTCCGGACAGCGACTGAATTCGAGCTAGCTGACAAGCTGCCTCCGTCGGGACTCGAACCTAGGACCTCCCGATCAGAGGGACTGCAGTGACATCAGTTGATGCCCTGAGACATCTCTCCCGGTAAAAAGACTTTTATTTAGATATACGGATAGAATAACAGGTAGACAGAGATATTAATGATTCAGGGCGCTCTAATTGCTAAGGTCATTAGTCCCATAAGCGAGGTGCACGATTTTATATTTTGAGGGGAGGTGATTTTGTCCCGCTGGAAGGCAAGATCCGGCACCCACCTACCTCGGCTAGTGGGGATTTTCCCCTACTAGGTATCTCTCGCCAGCGAGGCACTGCCCCAGCCGGGAGCTGTACCTAGATGTGTGGTATTGTGGTGCATGTGAGTTCGTAGGGGGTGAGGATAAGGAAGGAAGACGAAGGAAATATCGCGCGTGGTACGTGGCCCTTACTGCTCCGGCATTCACCTGGTGTTTATCAGTGAAACCTCTGAAAACTACCAATCAGAGCTAAAGTTCTCCTCCAGACAGCGGCTGAATTCACGGCTTAGCTGTGTTCCTAAACTTGAAAAATCCTACCACCATCGGGACTAGAACCGTAGCCCTCAGAGGCACTGCAGGGACCTCAATATTAGTTTTTGACAGCACCATACGTCATGTTAGGGAATTCATTCTGGATTATGCTTCGTTTTTTGTATCTATAATAAGTTAGCTGACAATATAATGGAAAGTGAAGCGAGTAATATAAATGTGTATCAATATCCAATCATCAATTCTCTGTTTTGCTACAACGAAAAAAACTGAACTGAACGAAAAATTCAACGTCATAATCATCACGACATCAGTATCTTTTGATTTTAGAAATAGGTTTGTGAAAGCTAGTAACCTTGAAGGATGTGAATTGGACGTGATCTATCAGTGTGTTTTTCTCAAGCTCTGCCTGAGAGGGACGTCCCACCAAGGGAGCAGCTGCGACCGCAGCGAGACTCGTCACGAGTCCCGTCGACTTAACATCCCCGTTCGCAAACTTCACAAGATTTCCCAAGGTTGCAGAAACTTGCACTCTCAGCAGGCAAACATCCGATGGTATCAAAGCGAAACGTATGAATACCACCTTATGTGATGTACACAGAATCGGTTTACGTAACCACTGCTTTCTGAATGTTTTGGAAGACTCTACGCACACTCTGAAATATAATTTGAGAATATTCAAGTATTAAAAGTTGACTTTAGGAAAAATGAGACAGGAGACCGTCCGATCTTTCAAGTGCTGAGAAGTTTGAATCAGAAAGGCCAAATTCTTGGAGAATACTCGAGTGTTCCGTAAGTGACTAATTCTTGTCCACAAACATCCCTTTCAACAGAGAAAGAAATTATTGATCACCGAATTATATTAGAGAGGTCGGTCGCTCCCTAAAGTGATCCTATTTCGATTTAGGATATGTTCTCATGTGGATCTCACTTCTATTATGGAAAAAGATCGTGTTTTTGTAGAATATTTGCAGTTTTATGTCCAACACATCATTCGTACAATCGTACGGGGAAAAGGTAACTGCAACTGTGACTCTCAAGAGACAGTGCAAGTTTGACTGGCAAACTATAAAAACCTCAATGTTTATTTAGTATCTAAGTTTAGATTGTACGTGCTAGAGCGTGTAAATATTATAAATAAGTAGAGTTTAGTTTGTAAGTATGTATGCGTTAGTAAGAGTATGTAGGTTTAGATTATAAGTATAAAAGTATGTAAGTAAGGCAAATCAATAGCGTAAAATTGTAAATAGTAGATTGTAAGATTAGTAGTTTACGTTTAAGATTTAGGTTAGCGCTCCCACACAGATAATTGTACGAAATATATAAATAAATGTCATTATAATTTGAAAGAACATCGGAAACCTGAATAATCCACTGGAAGTGTACAATTAGAACGATCTGGATAATTCGAGTCAAATTTCAAGCTTTGTATGAAAAATACTGCGTGTGTACACTCCGTGGCCACTCGAGCGTGAAGCAGCTGGCGCAAAAGCCACGTTGCCGCGTTTCCCATCATTTGAGGAAGGTTTCATTCCGTGCTTACGAGGAACGTCAATGAAACGCGCCATCTATTTGTCTAAGGATACCTTCATTTAGTTTTAAATCTTAAGTATGGACTATAAATTAAAATTTCAAGACATTTTAATAAAATAACATTTTAAAGTAAACGAAAAGTCTAAAACTACACTGGGGATTATTTTATTTTTATTGATTACAATTGACATTCTGCAAGATTCGGAATTTTGTATATATTCTTTGATGAAAAATTAAAAATAATATATTATAACATCATTATTGCTGTTATTATATTTTTATTATTCCAGAATATATCGTAGATCAATATTTCCGTATCAAAGAGAGGTAGGAATATTTTGTCATTAAGCTTTGAAAATAAAATGAACATTACATTATCGGCAGCATCCTACAGATAAATATAGATGTTTTTAAATTATTGATTATGAATTTGTGTTCCAAGCAAAAACAAATGCTTGATAACTTAAGTTATGTAACTTAAAATAAATGAAAATTATATATTTAACGGTTGACGTTGAATTAATAATTCAGTATTTTATCACACTAATTATTTCACTACATCCCCACAGCATCTGTTTTATATTCACATACAAAATAAAGTTTTACAGCAATGCAACTGCGAGTATTGCAAGGTTGAAACTAAGAGCTTGTCGCGTGACTCATGGAGGAAATATTGTGTTCTGCTACTTTCCTGGGAATTACCAATGCCATTCGAGCCATCTTAAGCCAAAGCTAATAAATACGAGCCAAAAACAAAGCAATGTTTTGAAGAAACATAAGAGTGAACCCTAGTATCTTAATCCGGTTTCGAAGGAAGTAATATTTTTCGACCTGTTGCGTCTCATTCCTTGCCAAGGTGATGCCTTTGCCAAGGCGATGGAGGTGGGAGTGAATGGTTAGAGAGCTTGATATGCAGGTTTTGGACTTCGACAAATCTTGAATTACTCATCGAACTTTAATAGGGGACGGAAAATTGGAATTAACAAATTATTAACGCCAGATTTTAATAACAATTCTATATTGATAAAAATTTGTATCGTTTTAATATTGGAAATTAAACCACCGTGATACAGAAAGAAGTGCACAGGAATAAAACTATATAAAGGGTTAATATATCAGAGTTTCTTACAACAAATTGTTATATGTTGCAGAAATTGCAAAATCATGACCCATTTATTTAGTTACCCGCATTTCCTCGTGTTAATTAAACTTCCCTAATCAAAATGCGGATTGTTGCGGGAAAACTTACTGAAAAAACCAGTATTATACGCGCATGAAATTGTAGAACTTGATTTAGCACTACTGTCTAGTTCTACGAGTAGTCTACAATATGATGATTACATTGTCTTGCCGCCATCTATTACAGCACTATGTGAGGAGTAGGTTTCTGTTTTCAAAATTCTTTTCTAATAGAGGAATGATTATCAACAAAAATGTGCATTTTTCACGTTTTAATTTTTTTATACTGTTGTTGTGAGGGCAGTGGTTACTTTAAGAAAGCGGCTCGTTGCAACCAGCCGCCGTTACTCGGGAAGGTTTTCAGTTGGCGAAACTTCCAATCTCCGTTTTGCGGGAGCTGCCTCTCTCCGTGAAAGCGAGCGCCGCTTCCGCGTTGTCCTGACTCACCGCTCGACGAGGGTGGCGCGTGGCGCTTCGAGAGAGCGGCGCGCCGGCAGTCAACCGAACGGTCGCCAACTCGCGGTGGCAAGAAGTCTGACGCCGAGAGGAAAACAGTATTGTTCGCTGAGAGGGGACATTAATTGTGATGCAAACCCCGCAACTGAGTTGTTCTACTTGGTCAAAAGAGAGGGAGACTACTCGAGAGGATTATATAATGACTGGCGTTTCCCCGTTTGAAATGTTTCCGAGTCCCTAGCTTGACAGTTCGTCAGTTGATGAGGGCCTGCAATTCGTTGTTTCTGCAATTAAAATGTGCCTTTATGATCTAAGTCCAGTGTCTATATAGACCCACCAGAGATTTAGTGGTATTATGAATTCATACTGAAACTTCTTGTAAACTATACGCGCTGTAACCTTTTTTATAATCAAAATATAAGAAGGAAAACAACAAAACGGAAGCTACTATAATAATATTATTTCAAATATCAATTCACTCAGTCTCTTGAAATTTACAATTGTTGTAATGAATATTACAATAGAACACTGAATGACACAAAGGGAAAGAAGAAGAGGAATAAGAAGTTATGAAGATTAATTATTAGGTCACATTCCAGTGGACGATCTCGACAATCCAAATTTTCAAAATAAATATTCCTGAAAATGTTTCTGGAGGAGTCAAACTAACGACCATTTCAGAGAGGGGTTGTTCACCGAGATGCTATCTCCCATACAACACATAAATACGCACGTAAACCCACACGCATATATACCCACGCGCGCGCACAGATACATACTCACACTTGACACTACGCTCTAACGTTGTGATCCAATACAGTTTCCTTCGAACCAAACATCTAAGCTCGCTCTAGTTTTCGGCCTTCGGAACCGAAAATAGTGAATGCCTAGTGAAACAAAACTAGCACCGATAGCGCCGCACGTTTAAATTGGCGAGGCCATCGCCTTGATGTAAAAGCAACCTCCATGTGGGACTCGCATTTTCGACACTAACTAGATAGCTAGGTTGAATTCTGCCGCTGCCTGGAGGAACATTCTAACGACCGGCTCCTCTCATCGGTAGTTTTCCGTGGTTTCTCCGATCAACAGCTCGCGAATGCCGGAGAAGAACCCGAACAAACGAACGACACAGGTGCGACGCTACGACGCACGCCTGTCGTCTGCCCTTACTTACACACACTTACCCTCACATGCACTACACTCACAAAACACTTTGGCAGACCAGTGGGGAGCATAGAGCTCGTCCCGGCTGCGGCGGTGCCCCACTGGTGGGAGACACATGGTGGAGGAAAACCCCGCTAGCCGACGTGTAGGTCGGCGCCAGATATACACAACGAACGTGGGAAGAAACGATAAAATCATGCAGTACACTTACGGTCCTTGTGACCTAGTTGACACGTGCAAAAACACTGAGGGCCCATTCACAATGCAAACGTAAACATAAGCGTAACGCAAAGACTTAAACATTAACATAAGTGATAGACTGAAGTATTCACAATGTCTAACAAAAAGGTAAGCAAAATAAGAGTTTTTATTGGCTGTGTCATTGTAGTTTAATTGGAATCGATTTCGAGGTGTCGACTGTGTCCATGGCCCATAACGGCGTTAGTTCCTCTATCGACTTCGCTCCTCTTTCGATTCCCGATTTTGAGTTAATGTACTGTAATTGGTTGATTTCTTATGTCTAACTTCAGCATAAGCACAGAAGCTTGAATCTTGCAAGCTCTTAAGTTTACGATTTGCGTGTTAATCTTATGCGAACGCATTGTGAATGAGTCCCGCTTACGGACGTAACTTTTATGTTACGCCGTGCTTATGTTTATGTTTGGGCCTTATGTTTGGTGCAGAAGGTAAGAGGTCCTCACCTGAGCGTCGGCTGCGCGCCGTCGTTGAGCAGCACGGCGGTCTCGTTGGGGCCGCAGTGCGGGTGCTGCGCCAGCAGGTGGAAGAGCGCGGGCGGCTGCGCGGGGGCGTGGTCGGGCAGGCGGAAGTCGGGCTTCCAGCGCAGCGCGCCGCGCGGGTGCGCGGCCGCCTCCTCCGCCGTGGGCAGCCCGCACTCGCCCACGCCGCCGGCCATCCGCTCCGCGAACACCTGCGCCCGCCCACACGCCCTTTGCCCTCGGCCACGCTCCACGAGGGATCATTCGACAGGGTGGACTGACTGGGGAGCGGTTTGCGAAACATTTCGCGTGAGTACGTTAGCATTTTGGTCTCGCCGAGATTCGGAAGCCTAGTGAATACCTATCGTGAAGTCTATCGTTTAGTGAATACGACAATTAGATTGTCAATAAAAAGCACGTGCGGGTGAGAGTCAACACGAGCGCGTGTGTTTATGTGTATAAACGTATGTCAGTTAATATGGGGTGCGTGTCTATTCATGTATTGACGTGTGTCGGTATACGAAGTATAGTTCACGTATGGACGCTCGGGTGTATATAGTACGTGATAGATGCGCGCGTATATACAGAGCTTGTATAGATGTGCTTTTGAGTACGTCTAAAGACGCATACAATGCAATGTATATAGAAGCGTCTGTATAGAGTACATGTATAATCTTGGGTGTGTACCGTGCGTATATAAACGTGTGTATGTCCAGTATGTCTATAGACGCACAAGTATATAAAGTAGGTGTATAGACCGACGTGTGCAATACAACAAACAACGTGTAAAGACGTACGCCATATATGTGTGTGTTATGTATGTTTGTATGTGTACAGATGCGTGTTAGCATATATGTGATAGTGTTAGCGTGTTAGCATATATGTGATAGTGTTAGCGTGTTAGCTTGTACATATATGATAGGATACCCCTTGTATATTGACATATATGGTATGCATATGGATGCGTGTGAATATACTGTACAGGTATAGTCGCGTTTATGTACACAGTATGTGTATACCCATATTTGTGTATACAGTACGTGTTTAGACGCGTTTATGAATATAGTACGTGTTTAGACGCGTTTGTGTATACAGTACGTGTTTAGATGCATTTGTGTGTACACTAAGTGTACAGATGTATGCGTGCATTTAGTTCTTTTGTAAATACAATTTGTGCAAATATGTGTGTAGGGTGGGGGGGGAAGTGCCCAGAAATCGTGTCAACCAAACTCAAACTCTCCTCCATGCTGCAGCGCCCGTTGAACGCACTGACCTGCTTGACGTGGCAGCACTTGCGCACGCACAGCGCGCGTCGGCACGGGCACGCCACCAGCAGGTGCGGCACGGGCGCGCCGCGCACGCGGTCGGTGCAGAAGTCGTCCGGCGGCAGGCGCGCGTCGCCCGCGCCGCCCCACGCGCCCAGGCGCAGCCGCAGCGCGCCGCCCGCCAGCGCTTGGAAGCGCGAGCGCTGCGTCGACGGGATGAGCTCGCGCGCGCTCTCCTCGCACGGCGCCATCGCCCCGTAGCGCACCACCGCGCCCGCCGGCGGCTCACCCAGCGCCTGCGCACGCCGCGGGGGCAGGGGGGTGACTTTCTCGCTAGCGCATGCGCAGTACAAAAAGTTAAGTAATGCTGTGCGAAAAAAAGACCAATTTTGGGCAGAAAAACTCTCATTACCTGATGACGAATAAGTGGATAAATCCAATTGCTAAATATAGAAAAAAAGTCTAACTCGTAGTGCAGCCAGAATCTATGTTTTGTTGGACCTTGATACCGAAAAATCGATTGATGGGAAACCGTCCGTCCGTCCGTCCGTCCGTCCGTCCGTCCGTCCATGAATAACGCTAGCGGCTGAATCGTTCAGCCGCTCAAAAAAATGCTTCCTTCTTTTTTGAAAAAAATTTGTTGTCGGATAGGATGAATGACGTTTAAGAGAATGGTGTCGGTCTCATTTTCGTTGAAAATCCTCATTTTTCGAAAATTGTAACAATTCTAACTCTTCTGGGTATCTTTCTACAACTACAAATATGAAGATGGTGATTTTTTCCCCTTAATGAAATCTGTTTCTTAGTGGTCGATTTGAAAATAACATTACATACAATTTTTCGAAAATTTGCGTATTTTTTGCGAAATTTTGCGTGAAAGTACGAAGGAGAAAGTACGTGCTGTTTTAGCACCCAGAGGTTGTTTTTTTGTCGCAAAAGCTCTCTCGGTCCTTAAGTTTTAAAGGCCTGGAGTAATCCTCCTTGATATTTTTGTCTTTTTGTTTCGTCACGTCGTATTCTGTTAGTGCCTTTTATTTCTTCGGTCAGGGGCTTGGTGCCGTTAGTAACCGGGGTTCCCAGACGTTCACCAGCCTAGGAATGCGTGGTGTCTCGAACTGCTTAACTCTGAGACTTCACGAAGCGTAGCTAATAAATACGGCTATGTCAAATAAAGGTTCATAAAACAGTTCATTCCCAATGTTTGCGATTCAAGAAAACACGTTCTATAATGTTTGCATTTGGTTTCATTAATATTCACTTACTATTAGAGTTTCCATTTCGTAGTTGGAAAACAGTCAAGAATATTTCAATAACTTATGTTTCTTTTTCCCCCTGCTTGTTTCATAATGTATATATGTTTAATTAGGGTAAATAAGTAAACAAACTTTTCCTATAGATTACTTCAATTCTCAAATGACTTCTCAAATACAGCGCAATGTGCTCGCCGAAAATTTCAATATAAATTACCCGAATATTATTATTAATTACTAAATGATCGAGCAGCTTACCCAGTGCTTCATCACGCAGTATGATTTTTTTAAGTTCTGTCGCGTTCTTCATTTCCACATTCTACAAGCCCTTTGCTGGTGCTGAATGGCAATGTGGAGTAATTCTCCTTTACCTTAGTAATAGTCTTAGCCAGTCATTGTATTTTATTGCTTCGGTCAGGGGCTCGCCACCGTTAGATCCCCGGGGTTCCCAGACTGTCACCCATCCAGGAATCAACGGTGTCTTCAGTTACTGAATCTCCTTAACTTCACGGAGTGTAGTTAAGCAATTCGGCTAGCGACACTGACATGTCCCTACTAGAGATGGCCTTACACTTTTTCATCAATAACAGTTATCAAAAGAACAGTTGACTTGAAACAACAGTTAATAATAACTGTTGAAAAATAACACACACATGATCAGCAGACTAACATGGCCGACTGTTAAGAGTTAAACCAGTTGTGTCAAAACCAAGCAAATCGAAAAACGTCAGTAGCACCTTTGAAGCTTACACAGTTACCTTACCAGATCTTCTAAAACATGTTTAACACAGAAACAGCTGATATGATGGAGGCCAACCGACCGGATGAACTGCCAAGGAAGAATTGAATTGAAGGAAGAATTGATAAAATATGAGTAGCAAAATTGTAAAGAATATTTAAATGAAGTTATTCAGGTTTATATTGCAAATATCATTTCGAGTATGCAATTTGTGTATAGGTAGGTGTACCAAAAAATGACAAGGAGAAATTGTCATATTTGTTACCAGCTAAAATGGTAATGACTGTTGCACATCTAAAAGTAATGTAAGTTATTTGACCTAACAATTCATTTTATTTTATCTGACATGTAGAAACAGGACAGAAGTAATAAAAAAATATATCGGACGAATTTAATTTAAAGTCAAACTCTTTATTAATATGTAAGTACATAACAATATGTACAAATATTGTGGTTCATGATGTGCAATAATGAAAATTATTTATTAATCAGTCTATTATTTGAACACTTGCTAATCACGACTCTTTGGCTGCAGTAAAACTATTGTCGTAGAAAATGGTTGTCGCGAAAGCTTATAGTTTGGGTTTGCCCAAGAGCTTGTCCTTCTATGAATTTCAATCGATAAGAGCTAATAACAGAGTAAATGAAGTAACTGTTATTTCGCATAACAGTTTCGAACTATTAACTGTTACGAAATAGCAGTGAAACTGTTAAGGAGACATTCCTAGTTCCTTCATCAAAACATCGGTATCTTTTCTTATCTCTCCGTTGACTCTCCATCCCAGGTCTGGTCAGGCAGCGTCCTGACATTCACAAGCTCGCAGCTCGGGCCTTGAACCTTCAGTTACAACCTCGCTACTGCAAACTAGGGACGTTTTCAAAACATCGATGTTTTTGTAGAAACACCGAGTTTGAAACATCGATGTATTAACACCGATTTCTATAACATAGATATTTTTTTAGCTTTTTGTTTCTGAATGAAAAAATTATGACGACCCTAATACTCTAAAAGTTAAAATATGAAATAACTAATGGTAACACTGTTATTCAAGTGTTGGAACCAAAGGAACGCTGTTTGCTCTAGCTTAATCGTCCAGACTCTCTCGCCTGAGATGACCTCCCTGCCCTTGTATTTACTTTTCCTTTATATTCATTTAGCACATTGATATGTTGTCAACTAATACGCTGAGGGCGTAGAGTCTTCTTCTTCTCGTACCGTTTATACGGATAATTGAAAAAAACGAACGACTGTCAAATTAAGTTGTATCGCACACGATTTTAATGGTAGAGATTTCTAATCCAGTTTAAAAGCTTCGATGGAGGAAAACATCGACGGATTATAGTCTATGGATTTTTAACATCCATGTTTTAATTTTGAACATCGATGTTTGCTAAAATTGATGTTTTGTTATCAATGTCGCATCACTACTGCGCACACTAATGCAATCAATTCTCATCAACACAATTCCGTACGAACTTTAAATTTTTAATCTATCTTGATGAGTGTTTCTTGTCTTACTCTCAGATGAGCCATTAACTGCGCTCTGCATGTTACTGGTAATCTTGAGGAAAACATTTGTTTTTCGAAAATATGAGAATGCGCTTCCAAAAGGAATGAAATTATGTTCGACTCACTTGCTCAATTTTTGGACTACGCCTTCAATATTTTTCTGAGAAGACCCTCTTGTTATTACCCACTTAGATGAATATATAATATTTGTTTCGAAATATGAAAAAAAGAAAATATGTAGAATAAAAATTCAATGAGAACTTTAAATTAATAGTTAAAGATAATATGTATCCCCCCAAGTCAACAATGTGATAAGAAAATGAGATATATCAAATATCTTGTACATTTCGATCGAGTTACACTTGAGCTCTATGAAACATTAGCAAGGAAGTGGATGAGATCACTTCTACTTCCCAAACATCTGCTTAGTATTGATTCCCAGCTCATAGTTTGAAGCTCATAGAATCAAGGGGAGAGTTTGACAATTTACAAGGTCAGGTGATCGTACAAGCGGAGCCACCATTGCTATGCAAGAAAGACAATTGCAGTAACACAATAGTAGCAAACTGATAAAAGAAATATTCCGTTTTGATCTATTAATATATTAAAATGTAACGATCTAAGTAGTAATACATAAAATTTGTAAAAAATATAATTATATGAAAATATATAGAAATATGTAATTATAATAAAATATTAGAATGTGTAAAATGTAAATGGTTCTAATTCATTCGAGATGCTATTATGAATTTCATACATTGATTTGGTCTAAATGATCAATATATAGTGTAACTGGACACTTAGGAATCATTATACAAGTGTAATGAAATCTAATAAACAGAAGTTTACGAAAAATCATAATAATACGAAGATTTCTTTGATGAATAAATTACACGACGGGAAAATCTTACAACTAATCTTTATAAATGTTAATATCTGTTGAAAAACGTTACATGAAAAATCTTGTCATTTCTTCATTATAGTTAACAACGTCTACTAGAATTCAGAAAAACGCACCCGTCATAAGATTCTTTGATAATACAAAGCATAAACATCTGTTAAAGAAATACATGATAGAAGGTAGTTTATAAGATGAATAAAATGAAGAAACGTCGAATAATATTTAACTGAAGACGATTTACAACAAAATCAGATTTCCAATATATTTTCATGATGATCAAATAATAACCGTTAAAGAAAACTATATGTGATATTGTAACATTATGTGACACATTGTCACAACACTTTAGAGAAAAGCGCATCTATTCTTCATATGAAAGTTTTCTAATTAAGTACATGAAAATAAAATTAAACATAAATGCCATCAACGAAATGTAGTAAAATTAGATTATGTTACAGAAAAGTTTTCAATAACATTAATAATTATTGTTTTGTTGTCTTGAAAATACTTGTTAAACTTGATTCTGTCAAACAAATTCTAAACAATTACGACTATAAACAATAGCAATCACAGAAAATGTTGACGAAATCTCTAAATTATTAGCAATACTGGATTAAAGAGATTGTAGGATGAAATGAAACATTATAATTAAAAGCGATGTAATCTAGAAATGTAATCTAGAAAAATTTACAATATATTCACTACAATCCTACACACAATGTACATTCATACATATGTATTTTTTCTTGTTATCAAAATGAAAAGAAAAGGTAGTAGAGATTGTTAGCAGAAGGGCCGGATGTAACTATTGTGGGGTCCCCAAGCACAAATGTTTTTGTTGTCGCTCTTCCGTCAAATTCGCTCCATCTTTGGGCCTCCACTAACTTTTGCCCCTGGGTGCCCCCATGACTATCAATTAAACGAGGAACATTTGGAGGTTTGCTTAAACAATTTACACATTCGGTGGAAAATAAAGGAAAAAACGTATAGTTCATATTAGGCTATTTTAACATGTATCGAATATTTAAAAAAAATAACTTTGAAATTTTAATGCATAATTGAATAGGGGAAAAATTGGGGACCCACATCCATGAGGGACCTCACGCTCCGGAAATATATGCGTAATTGAATAGGTCAAATACAGAACGGTGTAAGTGACATTTTATAATTTCAGAGAAATCTGTTTATTTAAGTCAATATTATTGTAAAGTCGTGGTGCTTTGTTTCATCATTAATACCCACGGCATTTCAATTGTTCATTAAAACAACGAAAATACATTTGCCACTGAAATATAGCTGAAGATAAACACTTTTTTCTCAGAATTTATAAAACGCCACTTACCCCGTTCTGTATTTCTTCCATTCAATTATGCATTTTTTCTGGAGCGCCAGGTTCCTCATGAATGGGGCTCCCCCCGCCTGCTTGTTTCGCTTGCAACTCCGACCCTGGATGGCAGTCGAAAAGCGAAGGCGTGCCTACCAGCGTGAAGTTGTCGAGCATCCACGGCGGGGACTCCCCGTGGAGGCGCTCGAGCAGCGCGGCCAGCGGCTCCTCCACCGTCCTGGAGGCGTTGGGCTCGAGCGCGGCGCCCTCCACGGGCACGCAGGCCAGGCCGGAGGCGGACTCTCGGACGAGCTCCTCCCCACCGCGGCCAGCACTGTGGCCACCCAGCCGGCCCTGCTGTCGACGGCCCGGCGCCGGCCGCGCGCCGGGAGGAGCGGCGGCCGCAAGCGCCAGCCACCAGCAAGCACCGCTGCACAGACGGCACCTGCACCACGCCTGAAACGGCGGAGCGGTCGGGCGGCATGGTGGCGGCCGGGAGAAACGCGCGCCAGGCCCACGCGCCGCGATATATACGCGCCGGTGCTCGGCCCCGACGGGGCCGCGCGGGGCGAGGCGGGGGGTTTTCCTTTCTTCAGGCACGCGAGCGGACTGCCGGCGGGCAGGAGGGGGAGCAGGTGGTGGCGGCGGCGGCGAGGTATCCCGCACGACTGCTCCTCTCCGACTGCCGGTTTGGGCAGGAAGGTAGCAACGCGACGACGGGAGCGGCACCACGGCGGAAGTGGTCGCCGCCGCCGCCGCCGCCGCCCGGTGTCGCTGTCGCCTCCGCCTCCGCTTCGGGGCATGTTTGGCCTCGACGGCGAGGCGCGGCCAGGCGCGGCCAGGCGCGTCCTCAACGCCCGGCTGCGAACAAGTTTTCAGAGACTCCAATGCCGCGTGGTGGCTGATCAATGGCGTGTGCGTACGTCACCGTGCGTACGGCGCTCGTCCACACGTGACGTCAAACGAAGCACCGGAGCTTGAATGTAGTACGCGTTCCTTGGTTTACGTCACGCGCTGTGTTTATTAACTGGGCGCGCAAAGGTGAAATGCTCACCTGGTCTTGTATGTTACGTCGAAACAGAGCTGTGCGAGACGTTTCGAGGAAAATAGAAGTTGTTTCTTCCATGAATAAGGGAATACATAATCGGGTTCACGTTGAGTCAGGGCAGGCCTACTCAAAATATTTGTCACGAACACATTGGTGCTTTTTTACTTAATGACAAATATCAACATATGTAAGTTCAAAAGAAACAATAACTTTTAATATTACGCAATCTACTCGTATTTTAATCTAGAATATTTATACAATTTCTGTTGCTAATAATTGTAAAGCAGCAGAAGTGTCTAAACGTAATTATCACTTTTCTGTATATACAAAATCTCAATAGGTTCATATTGCACGTAATAATGAAGTGTCTACATTACATTTTTTCAAAAAGGGGCGTAGAATTAATTAACAATAAAATTATAATGACTGCTTCACTCCAAGAAAGCAACGAGACGTCACATCCACGTGAAATTAATTAGTGAGTAAAATATGTGTCAAGTCACTTTGCCTCATCATAAATTTCTTCCACAGTTAAATGCAATATATCTTGCGAAATGAAGCGGTTTATATTTTTAGCAGCACAATATAAAACGATGACATTTCTTACGTAATATTAAAAGGTGGAAAGCGAAATAGTCTTGTGCGTAAGATCTCTGACGTGACGATAAAACCGGTTAATATTCTACGTCATCAACTTCATTACAATGCGGTAGAACATCATCTTCTGCACGCTTGTTTGGCTAAATAAAGCTGCTGTGTGTCCTTGTAAAAACAACTGACATATTTCTGTATAATTCACAGAACTCTTTTCTATAAATTATTTGTTGTATAGTAATGACCTTTTCTAACCCCTTTTCGTCAGATTTTGTCTTTCTTTCCCACAAATTACGAGAGGCCACAAAGCATGTAACTGCACTCACATAAGACTGCACTCACTTCCACTGAGATGTCACGTTCTCTCAACTCCAAATTCTTGAAAATTCTTCTCCTTATAATAGCGATGTCTTCCATTCACAAAAGTATATTCGTTCATTACAAAACAACCACGAATAATGCGTGAACACTTTTCTTAAATGATTCCGAAATTCCAAGGATGTATTAGAAGAGTTGTTGCTCTAGCAAATTATGAACCAAAAATTATGAGCCAAGAATAGTATGAAGTGTGAAAATTAATGAAATTCTTTTATTTATTTGTTGTTTGGTCCCTTATTTTAAATAAATAATTTAAAAAAAGGACTAAACAATAAGTAAATCAAATTATATTTTGACCACCATTTTAGTAATAATGTTTCGTTTTCTTTTCACCCTTCCAAATCACAAAGAAATCGATTGGAATTTCGTAAGCTTTTATTTGGCTAATATAAAAATATTATTTCCTAGTATAATATATACAAATTAAAAAAAACTCATTGTAGCCTTTTCCTACACTTCTCAAAACGATTGAGCGCAGCATGAGAGAGGTGTATGGGATATTATTGAAATCTAAAATTAGTTCTTTGCTTTGTAATGTTTATCCTTGTTCCAGAATGTCCTAATGAAATTAACAATTTAAAATTTAGGAAATTCTTATTGCTTTTTTACGTCAATTAAGAATTCGAAGGAAAAGAAAATTGCCTTCAGATTTTTCAAAAATCCGAATGATTCAATTGTTTTTATGCCTCAAGATTACTTAGTAAGCGTTGACACATTTTTGGTAGGTCCTTTCATTTTTTTCTAAATTTTACCTTCCGAAATTGTGTTTCCCTTGGCTTGTAATTCTAGTAATCGTTCTTCGTGAAGCCTACCAGTGTGCTGTTGATAGTTGTTGCGAGTGGAGAATGAAGTAATTTTATTACATTAATTCACAATTAAGCAGTAATACTTACTTTCTATTTCAAGAACTCAGTCCATATCGTTTGCTTTGACGTCATTCTTTTTTGGCTCTACGAATACTTTTTTCTGCAGTGTCATTGATGTTGAACGACTTCGTTCGCAATAGGAAATATTTAAAATTCAGATTAAATGTAGTGATGGGAAAATACGATCAAAAAACATTTGTCCATATAAACTCACATCTCATACAACACTAAATATAAGAATTAAATAAAAGCTAAGAGTTAACTTTCATTATAGAAAAAACATCATGGACGATTCGAGACATTTTTTTTATTTTTGAAAGCAAATAAATTTGTATTCTGTCTGGTGTAGTTTTAACAAAAGCTATTAATGTAAGTGTAGTAGTTTATTTTCCTTTCTCTGCATTACGAAGCAGTTTTAACGAAGACCATTTCATATCCACAAAAAGAAAAACAATGAAAAGTAAATACGTAGACTGAGTAGAAAGCGAATCCAAGAAATACAGCTTACAGCTAACAATCGCCTCCGATGTCATTTTCATAAAAAGGTAATAAAATTAGACTTTTTTTAAGAGGGACGTTTTAAGTTTCGAGAAAATAAATCTTTCACAATGCTTCGTAATAAATTTACTTTGTTCACTCCCTTCGTAATCTTTAAGAGATTTTCTTACCTTTTATGTAAAACTTGACTTTGGCCTCGTTGAATATTTGTTTGTACTATTAACTATCTTAAACATAGAGCAACACTTCCAGTCCTTTAAGTTGAAGGAATTTTAAATCTTATTTATAATCAAAAGGGATGCAAGAGACCACGCAATTTGCTCTTAGAAAATTTCTCATTGAGGTGAGGTTTATGAGACCTAGACGCAGGGATGGAGTACTACGTTTAAGCCTTATTAACCCCGCGCCTCGGACCCCTGCTGATTGGAACCCCTCGATATCTCTAATTTAGTTTTACATTTATAAATTTAAAAAGTGTAAAGACTTAGAGTAGTTTATAGATTGCTTGTTGAAATACTTATTGATTTTAAGTATCCTTGGTCTTATAAACAATCACTGTAAAAAACAGGAATTAATAAAAGGCTAACGAACACAGGTTGTAATAAAAGCACATATATTTATGTATATCATGCCATTATATATTAATTATTATTATTTAGTACATTGTTATGTGTATTATTAGTTTGTACCCCAGTTCTAGAATGAAACATAAATATATGTGCTTTTATTACAACCTGTGTTCTTCAGCCTTTTATTAATTCCTGTTTTAATCAATGATTGTCTATAATACCAAGGATACTTAAAATCAATAAAATTGTAAAGATTTAAGTTTATTTTTACAATAATTTTGAATGTAATGCTCAATTTTTCAATGTTATTATGGGCTGCTATACTTTGATCATGCTGAGACCCCCTGAAATGTTACTACATTAATTCGCAGCTGTCAAGATAAGCTTTACAACACCACACATATACTTTTTTATCGTATTATTTATTTTTATTTTTTACTTCATCGCCTTACGAATTCTTCGTAAGTTGAGAGAGTTATGTAATCGTGCGCCAGAAAAGTCCGAAATTTCACCAGGAAAAAAAAAAATTATGATACACCTTTCAGTACCAGTCTGTTTGCGATTCCACTATTGGACCAGGTCCTCAGACACGTCATTCGAGTTTACTCACAAGCCGCCGCTGGGGCGTGCGTTGACCTGTGAGGCGAAGGCCTAGTGTTGCATGCGCACGCGCTTTAGGCCGCAGGCGGCGGACGGCGTCGCGACCCGCTGCGGCGGCGGGTCGTCATTAGGCGCAAGTGTGACGTGCGCTGGTGCTCGCTGGCGCTAGCGAAAAATACCAACCGGGCAAAAGCAGTTCGGGCAATTCCCTCGTGTCTCATTTCCGGGCCGCTCCGCCTCGCACCGCCCCTCTCCGCCCCACCTCCCCAACTGTCCCTCACCTCATGCTCAGTCTCCATCCAGGTCTCCGTCCTCGGTCTGCCCCTCCCCGCAATGGCGCCGCCACATTTCGTCCCAACCCCACCCTGCACCGCCCCGCCCCGCCTAGCCCCTCCTCTCCCCAGCCCTGCGCCCGGCCAGTCCCTCATCTCCGCACGTTCCCATCGATTCACAGGACACTCTGCACGCATGCCATTCCGTCCAGCATACTCCCATCTCCACAACGTCCCAAAATCCACCCCGCCCGCCCCGCCCTCGCCGCTCTCACCGCATCGCCACGCCATCGCCCTTGAGCGTCGCGGGGGCTCGGAGGCGATTCCGGTACGGGGATTCCCGGCGCGTGGCGCACACGGCCTCTTTCCAGTCGTCGCTTCCGCCGTTCCCTCTCCCCTAACCCTCCCCTTGCCCCTCCCCCCTTATCCCCCTCCCCCACCGGCGCGAGAAGGCCGCCGGACTCGTTTCTCGCGGCGCACAGTCGCTCCGCTAGCGCTGAAGGAATCTGGCAACGCTGGGCGAAAGGTATGGGAATTGTTGGATGTGAAGGGAATGTTATAGGGTCGAACCAATTAGCGCTAAACAGAAGCACCTGCTGAATCGCACTGAATTTAACCATCGAATACAAGAATTAAAAACGCTAGAAAGGACTAAACGCGAGATTGGAAATTTGCTAGACTAACACTGAACCAGTGGGACTCGCTCGTAGCAATAGACCAGTATTAGTTTAATTAGTACAATTATCACTCCAAAACATTACAATAACTGATTCTGAACTACAAGATTACTTTACAACACTATGTAAGGCATGGTGTTACAGAAACTGTATCCTAATTGTATGGATTGTGTTAAGTAAACAACATTTAGTTGTTGTACAAAGAAAATGTGTGACTGAAAATACTATGATGGAACAATTAACTATGAAGTATTACAGTTAATTCAACAATTAATAATTGTAAGACCAATATCAATTGACTAACCTTTCCAAAATTTTGAATGTTGACATTAATTCTTCTTTTCAAATCTAATTTGGAGCAGGAAACATTCTTGTTTACAAAGATGAAACTGGCCTCATACCTCTTTGTATGAAAAATGCGAATTGATTCTCTAGGTAAAATATTTTAACCTTTTTGATTGTATTCTGTTGTTCCGCATGAATAAAAGGGATAAACACAGAGAAATTGCAGCTTTCCCAGTTTTCCGTAGATCGCCCTTTGGTAAAAACTAAAATACTGAAGGAGAGCTTGAGGAAAAATATGCACACCGTTATCCATAATTAAAATTCTTGAAGGACCCGCAGTATCCGCAAGCAAAACGAAAATTCCACGTATATTTTTAAATTAGTTTATAATGAAGTAATTCAACATTTAAAGCAAGTAGTAGGTAAAATTCTGGAGTATTAATATACGTTAAAGTACACTTCAATTTGTGTAATTCCCCACTTTTGTTTCTATTTGGCATGGAAGAATCACTAATTAAGACATGTTTGTTGCAGCTACCCCCGATGCAAATTGGTCGTGGTTTGTGCCGATGGCACTGGGGACAGAGCCTGGAGGCCGCGTGTGTTTTGCCGCTCATTAACTTTCTCTCACGAACCTCATAGCTTGATAAATTGCACCACTGGCAGAAGTGCCATGACGTGCAATCAATGAAACAGATCATTCTTAGGAATGCAAACATTAATTATATATAATATATATATATATAATATATTATATATATTATATATATATTTGTGTATGTCCCTTGTGGAATGCGAAGGTAAAAAAACATTGGAATGTACAAACCTCCAAAAACAGTCTGTACTGAGGTACAGAATTTTTACGCCTCAAAAATTTCTGCCAGTCTATTCGAAATTGGTATGATTGAATATTTACTGTTCCACCGTTATATTGTGTGTTTTACTCCAATGATGTTTATTCTCCTACTTTCTTCCTTTCGTTGTTTTACTTTTTTTTCAAATTTATTTTTTTCCAAGGGGCTTGGCCTCCTTTTCCTTCTTTGCAAATCCTCTTTCTTGGTTT